GAACCTTGAGGGGTCGGGTGACCAACATCGTGAAGCAAGTCTCCAATATTCGTAACAACTCCAACACTTACTTTTCCACTGTGCTATAAATCACCTCGTAAGACTTAAGGGTTCGACTCGTGAACATTACCGGCATGTACAGGCCGTCGTAATTCTGCACCAACGACGCCAAGATGGACCATTCACTTGTGTAGACAATAATAACCGCCTCTCTAGCCGGGTCGAAATGTCGTAGGATGGGCGCCGTAGCAATCTTGTTCTTGAGCATGGAAAACGCTACTTGTACCTTCGACCATTTTTCTTCGTCGTCTTCCTGGACCGCCACTCCATCGTTAGCCTTCAATCTGCATCTCCAAGCGTAAAAATCCACCTCTCTCACTTCATAAAGGATCGACGCGTATACGGCATAATCTTCGATGTACCTGCTGTAGTAATTTAGGCTTTCTAGAAAGGATTGCATAGCCTTTAGCGTTGTCGGTAAAGGTAGGTCGACGAAAGACTAAAGGTCCTTTGGGTGGGCCTCTAGTTCTTCCTTGGACACCCGATGTCTGAAGTAATTGAATTTCCGACACCCCCCCCGTACTCTTGACTGCACTGACCGACAAATTCCAAAAGTCAAACGCGTCTTGTAGCCGCTTCACTTTCTGGCATGATTATCCCACAATTCAGCCGGAACCAATATGTCGTCAATGTATGACCGTCAACTCAATATCAAATGGACCGATTTTACATCCGGTTCCCTGCTGCAAACAAATCATCTGCTTCCTCTGGGGTATTTCCTGGATAAGTTCGTATAAACCCATATAACGCATTATCCAACAGACGTTGATATATCTGAGGCGCATTCTTAAGCCCAAAAGGCATCCGAAGCCATTCAAATAATCCCAACGGCGTGACGAACGCCGAGATTAACCTCGACCTTTCGGTCATACTGACGACCCAAAATCACTCTCCATGTCAAGAGAACAATACCACAAAGCTCCGTCCAGATCCTCCTATAATTCGTTAATCAACGGCATAGGGTACAGTGAAAGTATTCACCAACCGATAGTTGATGCAAAATCGGATTTCCACCCCTTTCTTCTTCACGATAATCAAAATTGGGCTGGCCCACGGCGAAGTGGAAGGCTGAATAATCTATGCCGATAACAGTCCCTTGCTCAGGTCGTATAACTTTTCTATGAACTAGGGAGACAACTTCCGTACAAGTTGCGCAATCGGTCTTGCGTTCCCCACATCAATTTCACACATAGCCCTTCGAGAGACCGGTGGTAAGGCGTTACCTTTTACCATCAATAGATGTAGCTTCTTCCATATTATTTGTCTTAGCCGGTTCACCTCCTCAGGAATATCTTCATCCGGATCAGGGATCTGTATGTACTCCAGCTTAATACCTTTGAATGAGGGGTTCACTTCCGGTATGACCGCCCATCCTTCTATTTATGTCCTCGGCCCAAAGCTTCCCACTCTCAAAAGTACACACCTGGTCTTCTGTCTGTGACGAGTCTTCCAGATTGGCTTCCTTCTCATTGGCAGTGGTCACTGTATGTCGGTCTTCTTTAGATATACTTCAATCTTGAGAGGTCTATTCCCGCTGATGCGCGTTCTCTTCGCACGATTGTACTTCTCTATCGGGCATCTGTTGGTGCGTCAAATGCATCATTAGGGCTCCACCAGTAATCGCTGCAAAAGGCGTGACGGCGTTTGGTATTATGGTCTCTCCGCTAGTGGCCCCTCTTCCTCCTCTGTTGGTTCGACTTGATGGTAGACCTGGCCAGTGGTAGATTCGTAAGCCAGATTTAGCCATTCCGAATATCTTCGAGAGCCCACCGAGACAAACCCTGGCGTCCTCGGAACTTGATCCCTGGTCAACCACATACCTATCTTGGTATCCTCGTGCAATATTAAGGGGCGAGGGCTGACGTTGATTATCTTCAAATTTGGACGACGCCCTATCTCTTGTATCATGGTGGTCACATATCGTTCGCCTCTCGTGACCCACAATTTCCACTGTTCTGAGGTCGAACTTCTGAGAGGCGCTTCCGTACATCCTCCAACAGGTATCTGTACATACCGACCCAGCTTCACATCCGATACTCGAGTATTGTAAGCGTCCTTCTCCCGGTCAATTGTACTCGAACTTCGCCGAGGAGACAGAGGGTTCCGTATGCCAAGTCTAACCGGATACCGGCTGGGACCATAAAGTCCATCCCCAAAATTGCATCTTGGCCTACCATAGGGCCTACCCACACCTTAAAGATGTACACCAAGTTCCTATTCAGAGTGATCTTGATGCGAGTGCGTCCCTCCGTAGTATGTACGGCTTCCCCAATACCAATACATTCTTTTCATTCACTTTCATCAATTTGGCAGCCTACCTTACGAGCAAAGGCGATATTTAAAATTGATATCTCGGCACCAGTATCGAGCAAAAAATTTGCATGGTCGTTGTTGACCTTTCCAGAGGCTTTCAATTGCCTGAACCATTTATTAGGGGCGTGGTATTTCCAGTACCCCTAGACTCGCCTGGCAATAAGACCAACTCCATCACTGCATTTTCTCGAGCAAAATTATTAGGCTTATTCAAAGAAGCAACATGGACAACAGCGTAATTTCCAATCTTCAATGTATGTCTAATCTTTACTGGTGTACCCATCTCCTCCTTGGACTGTATTTCTACATATGCAAAGATATAACAATTAGATAGCTCGGATCGACCCAGATTCAAAACTGGCAATCTTCCTAATTTGCCATCTTCTCGAGTTTCTCCGGGAACATTCCTGCATGCTTGGTCGGGTTATAACATTGACGGAACAAATTGTAGAGCTCCTCCATCTGGCGCTTCCCGATCTCATGAATCACTATGCAGGCTTAACATGCAAACAGGCAGCGATCTGATGGGTGACCCTTCTTTCCACAGCGGTCGCAAGTCAATCGCTTCCATAAATTGAAAATTATGTCTCTTGGATCCACAAGTAGCACATCTCGCATTTGGGACCGCTGACAAAGGACGAGGTCCCTGGTCAACTGCCTGTCGATGTTGGTCGACCTCCCTGGTCGGTAAAATCTTCGAAAACCTCACGCCTGGTTCTCACTTAGCCTTCTTATCAAAAAAGGCAGACCCTCCTTAGATCTCCTTCATTCTCCGAAGATTCTAGGCTCGATTCTTCAAAGCTCGAGTCTTCCAGGGACGCCCGAACTGCATGTATAAAAGCGGCAGTTCATATATCTTGGTCTGTCCGGTAGCGCAGGTGTCTTCTGACGAAACTTGATTGATCCAAACACTATCTTGCATCGTCGCCATTTCGTCCGTTGACATGCTGTCAATGATTCTTCCAATCTTCTCACATCTGCCAGACGAACATAGTCAACTTTTCCGCTAGCTCCGAATCGTCTACCGTCAAATGTAGTGATCGACATGATCCTTTTGAACCTTGGTCTACCCATCCTAGATCTTCATCTTCGCCCTGAGTCCGATCACTTGTAGGCGGTACAGATAATCCAGCGGGGTCTCTTCCGACATTTAATTCGAATGGTAATACTAGGTAATCCCATACCACAGAAACGTATCATGAATTCTTGTACTAGGTCTTTCCAGATTCCTCGGACCAAGCGACCCAATTGACGGTACCAGTTCTGTGCTGGTCCAGTCAGCAGTCCTCCTCCAAAAACAAGACACTTTTCTTTATCTGGCGCCTAGTCTCTTGTAAATGCCGTCTTGACCGTTGACACACAGCTGCATGCTCGGTCTTCGTCTTGGTCTCTCCCATGTTTTTTTGATATCGAGGTAGCTGAAAACTTTATGCGAGGGACCATGTTTGGTGTTTGTCCCAGCGCGGCATTCGCCATCATCGACTTATGTCTTATTGAATCCATGTTGTCGGGGTCGTACTCGCAAGAACCGACGGATTCCATGTCGACGTCGGTCATCGTATGATCTCATGGCATTTGCATGTCTAGGCTCTGGTTGCGTTTAGCGGTCGTCCCTTTCGCCCCTGTTCTTCCTCCTGCCACACTTCCATTAAGGTGTGCCTGCGGTACTTGATGCTGTTGCAAAATCCTGCCATCGTCGAAGAGGGTCTGTAGATCACCAATCGGGTAGGTAGGCATATCTTACCAGCATCTTTGCCACATGGAAGAGCAAATTCCACTTTTTTCCCTTGCTGATTATAGATTGGCTGAAAATTGAAATAATTTTCATTTTGCCACGCGTCCCTGTTTCGAGAGCTCGCTGTTTCTGCTCCGCGTTGTGTGCTCGGGCTTGAAGCAGCACCGCGCCAGTAGGTACCAGAGGCATCCTCATTACGTAGACAGTTGACGATGATCTTTGTGACCACTGCTCCGCTGCGATTTCGTCGCTCGGCGGCAGGAGATGTAGTGGACCTTACTTCGACCATGAATATCCGGTGTCCCCATACCTTTGGGGGTGGACTGTGATGTCTTGGAGCGTCATCTGGATGTACCTGGACGGTGATTGCATGTGAGTCGTCAGAGTTAAGTCCCCCGTTGCTGGTGTGGTACCGACGAGGGTCGGTAGACGCTGGTGAATTTACTTTAACGTCTTCGTGATTCTTTAGAACCCCAGGGACAGCAGGTCGTCCGGATTAAAAAAATTTTCGACCATCTTCGCTACCCGAAAGAAGGTGACCGACGCGGTGATCGCGTCTGTAACGGTCTGTAGCCGTTATGGAGTCGACACCGGTCCAGTGAGCTGTCCAAGTAGCTGGATCTCGAGGGTCTTCGCGACGGGGTCTCTCTCCAAGAATTCGTCCAGCTTACGTTGGTGGTGGGCCTTCGTGACGTCAGCGTCTGAGTGCTGACTTCTCGGGGCCTGTTGATTTGGTTTTTTCTGGCGTCTTCATCCGGAACTTAGTCGGCTTGGCCTGCGCGATATCTTGTTTTTTGGCTTTTGTTGTTTCGGGGACTTAGCCTCTCGGTTTTCACCGTCGGCTGATGGTCCTCTGGATCATGATACGTTTTTTTATAAAAAACGACTACGATCAGGCATCATGACCCAAGGTGTCCTCTACGAGAACATAGGGAGGGTATTTAGGTTTTTCTTGAAGATGTTCAACCTCGACCTTGTTGACCGGGCCCTCTCCCAAGGTCTGGTCGGTTTTTCGATCCTTTGTTCTTTCTTCTTTAGTCACTGGCGATCGGTCTTCCAGTGGATCTTCGATCTTGTACTCATTCTTGACCTGAACATCTTTATCTTCTGGGGACTCGCGGTGAAATACCGCGTCTTCCGAAGATCCGGGCACGCGCACCATTGTGGTGGAGTGGGTTCTCAAAATAGTATGATGAGACCCCGAACCACTCACTGTGCCGGACTGCCGACTGTCGGAGGGGGTACCCCGATGCCGCGTATGAACCTTCTCTCACCTTGTGTACCCGTCGGCTGGCGGGTTGCACTCTTCGAAAGACTTCGTGAGGATGTAGACGTCTTCCTTGAGGGAGGTAGACCTGGCGGGCCTTGAGTGGATATGCTTCACTCGGTGGGCCGGTAGGTGGCCACTCGGTCGACCTTGTCGAGAGTGGTCTTAGAGCCAATTCTTCAGGGAGCTTTTCGTCCCTGACCTTTTCCTTCTTGCTTCAGGGTATTAAACTCATGGCCTTTACTTTGCTCCCGGACCGTGAGGTGAGGGAGACCGCTTCCGATAGCGGGTCTTGGAGGGTGTTGATACTCGAGCAAACTCACAAGCCACATATGTCCTGGAGCTCTATTCGCACTTGAACTTAGCTACACGAATGTCTTCAACGGGAGGCCAAATTAACCCTTACCGGAACAGGAGAATAGCTTAGAACCGGTTTCTTAGGGACGACGAAGTCGTGCCACGTAGATCGCAAATTGAGTAGTATATAATATAGTCCTATCCTTTAAATTCCATTACTCTAACCTTACCTGAAGCCCTGGTTCCTTGTGTTAACTGATGCTGATTCCTTGTGTTGACTGGTTAGGAGTGGCTGAACTTCGAAGGACCCAGGCCTACTAATGAGGCCGCGAGGATAACGGACCGAGGTCTACCAACACTGGACCTGGCCTACTGAAGGGAACCGTGGTCGACTCCTTTCGGTACAGGTTCATCGGCACCCTGGTCTTACTTTCTTTCTCGTGGGTCCTGCAAATCGTCCCCCGCCAACAATCGCTTACCCCCTAAGTCCCCTTTCTATCCGGTTCCTTTACCAGGTGAGCGGTTCCAGGGTCCTTCCATCCAACTGGACCCTAAGTTCTTCACATTTTCGGAAAGTACTTCACCACATTTCTCAGGAGGACAGTGTAAGAGGTTGACCTGCGCCAAATGCTCTGACAACTCCTTATGATAATGAGAGAGTTGGGGGAATTGGGTCCAATCCATATTGAGGCCCATCCTCATTCACACACACGCTCAGAAAGACGGGTCGTGGGAAGGACTACTTGTGCTACCAGGTGTAGACGGGCACTTCTAGGAATCTGACGCGTACTACTTAGCACACACCTTCAAGCACGCGAGAAAGCGGTAGAACCGTCTACCCTCCGTGCACGGTGTGGGGTGCTTGGTCGACCGCACCAACAGATTCCGGTCGTCGAAGCGAACCGCGCAACGAACTTCTAACAAGTACTTTACTTACGACACGCAGAAGCTGATCCAGCTTCTCGTGCGCAATGAAAGGTAGTTAGCAAATTCAAGACTGACTTATATTTTATAGAAACTAAACTAAATATAACTGTTGCTACTGATTGGTTGATATGTAAAGATCAGATACGCGTCTCTTTCAATCCCTACGTGCGAGCTTATAAATATTTTTGAGCTCGCTGATGACGTCCGTCTGTGACGTCATCATGACGCCTATTCCTAAGTGGACGTCATCCCCATCGAATGTGAATTCATCAATGGATATCACATTCACAAGGGTGGCTCACATTGATGTGCCTTACCTAAGTGACAGGTACGTACCCTTTCAGACCTTCCTGTTAGATATCATATACTTACGGACTCGTTTAACTATTGGCTCGTTACATGCGTTGTTGAGAGAAGGTATTTTAGCTTACGAAATTGACAGCAAAAATTGATTGGCCAAAGTGTTCGCAATTTATCATAGCTACCTTAAGTACGTATTGTTTGGACTCCGACAATATACTGGTGAGGGATCCTAGTTTATTGTCGAGACGCAAGAGTTCCAGGACACTGGTACAACTTTCTGGCCAAATTTTTGGCATCTGAGGCACACAATGTTTAATATTCATGGTCAGTCGCTGCTGTGGAAGCAACTGGACCAGACGCTTGTAAATATGTTCAAGCAGGAAAGTGTGCATTTGGTGATTGACCGACAGCGACATGCTGCATCGCTGGATGGCAAATTATACACATTTCACGCGCCAAACTTCTTTCAAACATTCAAACTGGCGCACGCGGACAAAAATCTTTTTCGATTGGCATGGCGTACGCTCAAGCGTTTTACATGATTAACGTGCCACCTGCTATTGCTGGCGACACCTTTGACATTTTTTTTTGCGGAGTGACATTGGTGCAGCGCGACGCGAACGGAGAGATACTTTTCTTGCATCGAAACATTCGTAGACTCACCAGCGAGCTCAAGCGCCGGACGGTCAGTCTTAGAACCATTGCAGCTCTACGTGCTAAGCAAAACTTGGCGCTCGCTCGATCTAGAGGACGCATAAATCTAACGATAGAGGAGATTAGTGAAAAGTTCAGGAACAATGGCGCCACACTTTCACCTATGTTGGACGCGCCCGAGGCTGATGGTTATCCTGACGCAATTTATTAGACACATATGCTATCTTTTCGTAGCACGTCAAATCGTATACACTACAAATTGATGTTTCGTTCTTTGACTTGAGTCCTAGACCCACTCGCATTCTTCTCGATGGACTACAAAAACACCAGAACTACAGCTGCATAGAACCCCAGCACCACGTAAAAAAATAAAACAGCAGCCATTGGGGCATGCTTCAACGCCCAGCTGGCGCAATGACAGCTGGAGACAATTTCGTCGCTCCGTGACGGAACGACTTTTGGGCTCGTAAAAATGGAGCTGGTGCGGCAGGGCGACACATGCTGATTATATACAGTAATCATTAAGCATGTGGCTGCTTGTCCCGATTGCCACATCGTTGGACACGCACGCGATAGGCAGCAAATTTGTATCTGCTTTACGCCTAACCCGGTTCTGGGAGATCACAGTAGCTGTGCTCTTTCCTCACTTCCAAAAAGACTTCGTCCTATACATCGGATTTGCAGATTGCCGATAGATATGTTCACCTCTAAGCTTACTGTGGCGCTTCTGGCTCTTCCTACGCTGGTTGCGCATGCAGCTGACGGTAGCACTTGCAAGCTCGGACCCTCAGAAAAGTGCGCGATTGATTCGCTGACAACGTACGGTAACGATGGCAGCGTTCTCATTTACCCTGGGGGCAACACACGCTGTGCGTTCGATGACTACTTGGACGACACCACGACATTCGAGTCACGCTCGACGTACTTCTTCCAAGTATACCCGACCAAGAAGAAGTCCAAGGTGCTAATCTACTTTCAGGGAGGAGGTGGCTGCATCGATGAGTACACTTGTAACTTCGCCCTGCAGTGTCAACTTGGAGCCAACTCGCTAATGACGACGATGGCTAGGGCTAACAGCAGTGGCATCATGGACCGCGGTGCTGTTGACAACCCTTTCAATGACTGGGACATTGTATTCCTTCCATACTGCACTGGGGATCTCTTTGTGGGGAATACATACTTGGCGCCTTTTGAAAGTGACTACAGCCAAGCACTAGGCAACAAGCAGTGCCTTGGCCAGAATCGAGGTATGTACTTGAATGGTTACAACAACACGAAGGCTGTGCTCGATTGGGCACTTGAGAACTACCCTAGTCCGGAGCAGGTGGTCGTCGGTGGCTACAGTGCAGGGTCGCTGGCCGCACAATTCTGGTCTGCAAAGATTGTCGATATGTGGCAAGTCGAGCAGAAGTCGACGAAGTTCCAAGTTCTGGCGGACAGCTACGTCGGTGTGTTCCCGGAATACAAGTCACCCTCGAGTTCCATTATCAATTTTTTCGGTGGGTGCGATATAGACCTCAACTTCCCCAAGTCGATGGTAGCAGAGTGTAAGGCAAGTAAGGCTACCGTTCCCGAGATGGTTGGCGCGCTGATCAAGCAAGTATCCAAGAGCGAGTGGTTGTTCATCGACAGCATCGCAGACGAGACGCAACGCCAGTATTACGAGTTGGTGCGATTGGGCATTGCAGGCTATCCATTCACAACGCTGTTTGATGCTGGCGAATTCTACGGCAACATGACAAAGATCCTAGATTCGTATGCACAGCTGACGAGTGTGACGCGGTTTAACATCGAAGGCGACCATCATGTGTGGCTACAATCGGAGGGATATATGACCGTCACCAGTATGGACGGTGCCGTGTTTGGCAAAGTGCTCACCGACTGGCTTGGTATGATGCCTTCCAAACCGACTATGCCAAGCAACACGATTGTCGGAGCTCATGAGGCCTGTTGAAGTGAATATGTGTAATTCGATCGCGCCATTTGTAGAGACGCTATGCCATTCGAAGGAATAATATTCTCATTCATACAAAACTTGATTCGTGGATAGTCAACGTTATTCTCAGTATGGCACTTCACCGCAAACTGCGCGGCATCGTGGGCGGCAATACGTGCACATATTTGCATCATTAGCTAGCAACAGGGCGGTTAGTTTTTGTTGCAAGAGACGCATGTACATGCCCAGCGGACAGGAAAGAGCACAGCTTCATTTTTGAAAAGACTTTGTCATTTAATATAGTCACAGAAAAACTTCACTGCTAACTTTTCCTAACTGCTATATAATTCCGGTCCCGATCTAGGCCTAAAGTAATACAGCCTTAACTTTTAACTTGTAAATTTCCTCAAATCTTCTGTGCATTGCAGTGCTAGCATCTCGAGTCAGCACTGCAATGCACGACATTCTAGCATCTCGAGTCAGCACTGCAATGCACGACATTCTAGCATCTCGCACGACATTCTAGCATCATGTTGCGTTAGCGTCTAGGGTCCCATCAATCGAATAGAATTTGCTTCTCTGGTTCCACAAAACAATGCTTAACTACCTTCCTGAAGTAGCCTTTGTGTATCGCATACAAGAGTGCAATCGCAGTCTGTTGAATAAAGGCAAATACTGGGGTAATACATTTAGTAAGGTACTTAATTCTCATGTCCTTTATGTAACATTTAAGTCTATTTCTATCGACTATCAATTACGGAAGGTTGTCGTATCATTGTGATCTTCTGGCTATCAATATCACAATCCTATGGTTTCTTGTCCCACCTTATGTTGCGTTGGCCAACAAGCCCATCTCTTCCTTAAATATCTGTGGATTGGTTGTCACGAACAGTACATCTGCATGTCCAGCATGCCCGACGAAAATAACACTGAGCCAGATCTGGTACAATAATCTGCCTATATGTCGCTGGCCTGCTTGTTGAGCGCAAATGTCAGTCCCACGAAGCGAACTTGTCTAGACAGAACCAGCCCCGGTGCGTCTCAGGCCTATTGGGAATGATACGATGCGCACTTTCGCCACTTCGTAGCCATGTACGCGCCCGGGCTAGGTACGTGCATTCTGTGGAGAGTCCGGGTATCTCCCGATGGCATTGCGCCGACAGTTTTGACGATTGGTTTTAATGCACATACGATTGCTGCCGATGCGAATATTGCGGTTAATCTTGTGACGCGATGCATTTCATCGCGTCTTCCGTTGTTAATGTTGATCTTGTGAGCATCTCTAATAAAATTATCCTATTTTTTTGCGCCACGGACCAAAAAATCATAATACTTCAAAAATTTGCGTCATCTAAACCAGTGCTATGTGCAACTATTGTATTAATGAAATGATTTCGCCAATATTTTTTTGGAGTACGTCGACAAAACGCTTATGACGATGACGTTAAAGTGTCTTTTATGGTTATAAACGACTCTAGATTTTCAACGAAGCACTTTGCGCTTAGATCGGATTTAGACAACATCTGTGGGCGACAAGTCATCATAAGAGAGGAAATTAAAGGAATCAGAACTAAGCTTGCGTTTATTAAATTGATTATGCAGTGTCTACGAGATTAATACGACCATTCCCGCGCGCTAGCTTATCCATCTCAATTTATCGTTTCAGACTGAAAAACCTTATCGAGTTTTGTCATCGCGACACGAAAACAATGCAATCTGGCTCTGTTCCAGGGCGATCTCGTTCTGTTGCATCGCAATCTGGTAGTGTTCTCCGATGAGCTTATTGCGATTTTGCTGACGCCTCAGCGTGTTGATGGCATTCGACTTATTCTCTGCCAAGTCTTCTCTCTCTTTGGTAATCTTTGCACGCACCAGCAGGTCAACATAGATGAGCCCACTCAGGTTCATGTTCTGCAGATAACTCATCAGCATTATCCTCAATTGGCCCCCGACATTTCATTTAACGAACCATAAGCTACACGAATCTGTTGAGTATATGATAGATCTAATAGAGTACATGGTACCTTAGACCTCCCACTTGGGTGAGATGGCTCACATTGATGTGTCTCACCTGATATCCATGGATAGATTCACATTCGACGGGGATGACGTCCACTTAGGAATAGGCATCATGATGACGTCACAGACGGACGTCATCAGCGAGCTCAAAAATATTTATAAGCTCGCACGTAGGGATTGAAAGAGACGCGTATCTGATCTTTACATATCAACCAATCAGTAGCAACAGTTATATTTAGTTTAGTTTCTATAAAATATAAGTCAGTCTTGAATTTGCTAACTACCTTTCATTGCGCACGAGAAGCTGGATCAGCTTCTGCGTGTCGTAAGTAAAGTACTTGTTAGAAGTTCGTTGCGCGGTTCGCTTCGACGACCGGAATCTGTTGGTGCGGTCGACCAAGCACCCCACACCGTGCACGGAGGGTAGACGGTTCTACCGCTTTCTCGCGTGCTTGAAGGTGTGTGCTAAGTAGTACGCGTCAGATTCCTAGAAGTGGAAGTCTACACCTGGTAGCACAAGTAGTCCTACCCACGACCGGGACCACGAGTTGATATACTTCACTCAGGCCCGGGGTCTCTTGAACTCAATCGACTGGGTCGAGTACAGTGCACCTGGTACTATGTACCCCTTCGGAGGCTAACGGTTTCTTGGTCTTTCGGCCCCTTCTTTTGTTCCCCGTAGGGAAACCGCTTCCTATAGCGGGTCGTAGAATGTGTACGAACCCACAGGCCAAAATACTTCCTGGGGTTCGTTCGAGCTTGAATCTTACCACACGTCTGTCTTCAACAGGGGGGGGGGAATAAATCCCATCCCGGAACAGGTGGGTAGATCGGAACAAGCTCGCACTTGAGTCTTGACACTTACTTGACACCTTAGGCCAACTATCCTGAGGTTCAGCTTGCGTTGCTTGAGCCGTCACCTCACCTGACGTCGGTGGGCCAAAGTGTGGTGAAGTGCTAATTTTGTGATGTGGAGGTCCCAGACTTCAGTTGGATTTGGAGTATAGGCCGTGGGTCAGGGACAGGGGACCAGAGAGACAGGGGCCTCGAAGGGGGAGCGACCGTTGGTGGAGGACAATCCGCAGGATCCGCCGAAGAAAATTCAGTATCAGGGTACCGGTTAATCGGTACCAAAGAGAGTTGATCATGGCCGCTTATTGATCGACCTGGCCCCTCGTTGGTAGACCTCGGCCCCTTGTTGGTCGACCCGGGTCCCTCATAGGTCGACCTGGGTCCCTCATTGGTCGACCCAGTCCCTCATCGGTCGACCCGGTCCCTCGTTGGTCGACCCGGTCCCTCATCGGTCGACCTCGGCCCCTCGTTGGTTCAGCCACTCCGGACCAGTTAATACAAGGATCAGACTAGTCGACGCAAGGAATCAGAGCTTCAGGCAAGGATAGAGTAAAGGAGTTAAAAGGATAGGACTATATTAAATACTACTCAATTTGCGATCTACGTGGCACGACTCCGTCACCCAAGAAGGACTTGTTCTAAGTTACTTACTGTTCCGGGAAGGGATATATTTTGGCCCCCCGTCGAAGACAGTTGCGTAGCGAAGTTCAAGGGCGAATAGAGCTCCAGGATATATTTGGCCTGTGAGCTCGTTCGAGTAGCAACACCCTCCAAGACCCGCTATCGGAAGCGGTCTCCCTCACCTCACGGTCCGGGAGCAAAGTAAAGGCCATGAGTTTAATACCCTGAAGCAAGAAGGAAAAGGTCAGGGACGACAAGCTCCCTGAAGAATTTGGCTCTAAGACCACTCTCGACAAGGTCGACCGAGTGGCCACCTACCGGCCCACCGAGTGAAGCATATCCACTCAAGGCCCGCCAGGTCTACCTCCCTCAAGGAAGACGTCTACATCCTCACGAAGTCTTTCGAAGAGTGCAACCCGCCAGCCGACGGGTACACAAGGTGAGAGAAGGTTCATACGCGGCATCGGGGTACCCCCTCCGACAGTCGGCAGTCCGGCACAGTGAGTGGTTCGGGGTCTCATCATACTATTTTGAGAACCCACTCCACCACAATGGTGCGCGTGCCCGGATCTTCGGAAGACGCGGTATTTCACCGCGAGTCCCAAGAAGATAAAGATGCTTATGTCAAGAAAAAAAGGAGCACATGACAGAAGAGTCACTGGAAGACCGATCGCCAGTGACTCAAAAAGAAAAAATACAAAGGATCGAAGGACCGACCGGGCCTTGGGAGGGGCCTGGTTCAACATGGTCGAGGTTGAATTTAATGAAGAGAAACCTAAATACCCTCCCTATGTCCTCGTTGAGGACACCTTGGGTCATGACGCCTATCATGATCCAGAAGACCATCAGCCGACGGTGAAAACCGAGAGGCTAAGGTCCCCAAAAAAACAACAAAACAAGATCGTGCAATCCAAGCCGACGAAGTTCCGGATGAAGGCACCCGGAAACACCAAGTCGATAGACCCCGAGAAGGCAGGACTGGCGTCATGGACAGACGCTGAAGTCACGAGAGCCTATCACCAACGCAAGCTGAACGCGTTCCTGGAGAGCGACCCCGTCGCGAAGACCCTGGAGATCCGGCAGCTGGGTCAACTTACTGGGCCGGTGTCGACCCTATCACGGCTGCAAACCGTCACGGACGCGATCACAGCGCTGTTCACCCTTCTTCGTGAAGCGAACATGGTCGCAGGGCGGTTCGACCCGGACGACCTGCTATCCCTGGGGTTCGACAGAATCACAACAACGTTAGAGCATATGCACAAGCGTCTGTCGATTTTGGTGGGTACCACACCAACAACGGAACACCCACCTCTGGGGACACCTACACACATGCGGTCCAACGACAGCCAGATGACGCTTCAGGACATCACGGTGGGTCCCAACGTGTACGGAGCCGCTGGCCACCCAGGGGCGAATCAAGACCCATCTCAACACCGGATGCCAAGCGGCCAGAGGGAAGCAGCACCGTGGTCCCCAGGATCGTCCTCGACTGGACGGTCACCAGGATGCTCCTAGGCCCAACTGGGGCGGCGCTGCTCCAGGCCAGAGCGCGCAGCGCGGAGCAGGAGCCAAGTGGTCTTGAAACGGCGACGCGTGGCAAGAATGAAAATCATTCCGATTTTCAGCCAATGGAAAATCAGCAAGTGAAAACGCTGGAATGTGCTCTGCCCCGTGACGAAGATGCTGGGGGGGAAGGACCTACCTACCCGGTAGGCGATCTGCAGACCCTCTTCGACGCGGCGATGGCAAGATTTTTGAATGAACGCCAAGTACCGCGGGCACACCCTAACGGGAGTGTGGCAGAAGGAAGACGAGAGGCGCAAAGGACGACCGCTCACCATGACCAGCATCCAGGCATACAAATGCCAAGAGGCCACACGATGACCGACGTCGATATGGAATCCGTCGGTTCCTGTGAGTTCGACCCTGACAACATGGATTTGAGGGGACCTCAGTCGATGATGGCAAACGCAGCGCTGGGACAGATGCCAAATATGATCCCTCGCATCAAACTCTCGGCGACCTCGGACCTTAAAGAATTTCATGGAAGAGACCAAGACGAAGACAGAGTGCGCAGCTGGGTATCGACGGTCAAGACAGCACTTATAAGAGACCAAGCACCAGACGATGAACGATGTCTCGTTTTTGGAGGGTTGCTGACTGGACCGGCACAGAATTGGTACCGTCAATTGGGTCGTTCAGTCCAAGGAAACTGGAAGGACTTAATCCAAGGGTTCATGATTCGGTTCTGTGTCACGGGGGTACATGTCGACCGTCACTACTACCATGCGAAGAAAAGGTCGGAAGAAACCCCGCTGGATTATCTGTACCGCCTGAATGTGCTTGGACTCAGGGCGAAGATGAAGATTAAGGATGGGTCGCCCAAAATTCAGAAGGATCATGTCGGTCACTACATTTTGACGGTGGACGACCCGGAGCTAGCAGACAAGTTGACTATGTTGCGTCTGGCGGACGTGGAAGAATTGGAGGAAGCATTGACAGCATGTCAGCGGACGAAAGCACGACGAGGCAAGATGCTGTTTGGATCAAACAAGATTCGTCAGAAGGCATCGGCACTACCCGAGAGCCCGAGAGATATGAATAGTCGCTCCATACATGCAGTACGGACGCCCCTGGAAGACTCGAGCTCTGAAGATTCCAGTCCAGACTCTTCGGAGAATGAGGGAGATCTTAGACGAGTCTACCTTATGGAGAAGGAAGCGGGGAGGGATCCAAGTGTGAGGTTCTCAAAGAATCTACCGACTAGAGAGGCCGACCAACATCGCCAGGCAGTAGATCAGCGACCCGGCCCATCATCAGCGACCCCAAACACGAGATGTGCATATTGCGGGTCCAAGAAACATGGAGACCTGAATTGCTGGAAAAGATTGACCTGCGACCGCTGTGGAAGGAAGGTTCACCCATCAGATCGCTGCCTGTTTGTATGCCGGGGTTGTGAAGAGATTCACGAGATTGAGAAGTGCCAGATGGAGGAGTTCTATAATTTGTTCCGTCAATGGTACAACCCAGCCAAGCATGCAGGGATGTTCCCGGAGAAACTCGAGAAGATGGCAAATTAGGACGCTCGCCAGGTTGGAATCTGGTACGAGCCGAGCGTTCTAATTGCTGCATCTTTGCATATGTGGAGAAACAGCCCAAGGAGGAGACGGGTATTCCAGTTAAAATTGGTAATATATCGAAGATTGGAAATTACCCTGTGGTCCATGCTGCTTCTTTGAATAAGCCTAATACCTTTGCTCGAGAAAGTTCAGTAATGGAGTTGGACTTATTGCCAGGCGAGTCTAGGGGGTACTGGAAATACCACGGCCCTACTAAATGGTTCAGGCAAGCGAAAGCCTCTGGAAAGGTCAACAACGACCATGCAAATTTGTTGTTCGATACTGGTGCCGAGATATCCATTCTGGATATCGCCTTTGCTC